CAAAGCCAGCCTCAGCAACTTAGCAAGGCCCTAAGCAACTTAGTGAGACCCTGTCTTTAAATAAAAAATTTAAAGTAGGGCTTGGGGATGTGGCTCAGTGGTTAAGCGCCCCTGGGTTCAATCCCCAGTGTTGCAAAATGAAAAAAGAAAAGATGGTAAATTTTATATTCTGAATATTTTACAAAAAAAAAAAAAAAGAGTGTGTGTGCATTTTTGTGGTGTGTGAATTGTATAAAGCTTTAAAAATGTTACCAAGAGGGTCCCTCTCAAACAGAACACTRGAAGAAACAGACAACAAATAAAAAAGACAAACCCAAATATCGCCATGAAAGGTGCTGCAGAGAAAGCAAAATCAGGTAACGGGAAGTGAGGAAAGGTATCAGGCCAGTCACCACATGGGTAAGTGCCTCGGACAGGAGGAGCCACAGGAGAGGCTCAGCTTAGAAGAGGCTGCAGCCTGTTCAGGGGACTGAGAAGGGAGATACGGTAGGCACCCAGGGAAGTGGGCAGGACAGAGCCAGAGGTCAGCAGGGCCAGGGCACACCAGGCCTCACCAGGATGCTGTCTGGGGCGAGGGGAGGTATGGTAGGACTTGGGTTTTCAGAGCATGGACAGGGAACTGGGGGCTGCTCATGAGGCGGATTCAGGGTCCTAGTGAGGAGCTCCAGGGTGGACATGGATTTGGAAACTGATGGGACTTGCCAGTGGGTGGGGGTTGGGGGAGGAGGTCACAGGTGTCTGGATGGCCCCAAACGGCCTCCTCTGCCCATCCTGCCCCCACAGGGGTCTGTATGGCCCCAAAGCCGCCCTCCCCAGCCTTCTGCCACAGGGCAGCACCCCCTCTAGCAGGCCCCCAGCCAGGAATTCATCAAGAGATGGAGAGTCAGTGCCACCCACGGCACTTCACAGTGTGTCAGGGGCTTTGCTTACAGCCAAACAGAGGAAAGGCAGCTGATGGACCCAACCAACCTGTTCTGGAGGCCCCTAGCTGCTTTACAGCTGTTTGCAAGGGCATCTGAGCAAAGGCAAACCCAAAGCATCCCCTGATGGCTGAGGGCAGAGCTAGAACCCAGAGCCTCACTTTACACGTAGAGAAACAGGTCCTGAGAGGGTAGGAGCTTGGCCCACGTCCCCGGACACTAGGATATCTCTCCCATGTGCCCTTCTGCCTTAAGCCTCCAGGATCCCCAGCCCCTCCCCTCTGCATCCCATCCTGGTTCCTCCAGAGACCTTCCCTGAAAACAGGAAGCCAGGAACACAGTGGTTTCAAACGCTCTCTTCCCACCACCCAGCTTCCACCCTAGCTCTCCCTGTGTTCCTTGGGTTGGGACCTGAGCACTAAATTCTGATGGCACTTTGAGGATCATGGTTCTTACTTGCCTCCTGTGGCCAGTCTTTCCTTCACACCCATCCACTGTAGCAACAAAAGATGACCTCTCAGGATCCAGCTGAAATGGGTCCTCATGCCTTGAATGGGACCCGTCATTTCCTGCTTGGACTATTGCAGTAGCTCCTACTCTGGTCTCCCTATCACCACCCTCCCCACTGATACAGTCCATTCTGCCCCTAGCAGGTCTGATGGCTCTGGGAGACCACAGCTCCCCACCCCAATGAAACTCACATGGCATGGCTCACCTGTCTGCAGTCTGAGTTCCCACACCATCCCTTCCCCTCACCATCCAGCCACTACAGCTGTTACGTGCCTCCTGCCTCGGAAAAGGCTCCTTCTTGCTAAGGCCTCGGCCCCAGCTGTTCCTTTCTCTGATCATGCTCTTCCCCACTCTGCATAGCTGACCCCCGCCTCTCATTCAGATCTCAGCACCCCCATCTGCTAGCACCACATCACCCTAAAGGTTCTGTTTTTATTTTTGGTATCGGGCATTGAACCCAGGAATCCTTAATCACTGAGCAACATCCCCAGCCCTAAAGTTGTTTAGAGCCTCCCTAAGTTGCTGAGGCTGGCTTTGAACTTACAATCCTCCTGCCTCAGCCTCCCAAGTGGCTGGGATTACAGGCATGCACCACCATGTCCAGCTACCCTAAAGGTTCTGGTTTGCACTGTTTTCTTATCTCTTTGTTTATCCTGTATTGCAGAATCCTGGGGTCTACCACATAGTGGGCACTCAAAAAATTCTGGGCTTGGGCTGGGGTTATGGCTCAGTGGTGGAGCGCTTGCCTCACATGTGTGGGGCATGGGTTCGATCCTCAGCACCACACAAATAAAATTTTAAAAATGAAGGTATTGTGTCCATCTATAACTAAATTTTTWAAAAAAAAAAATTGCTGGGCTTTGTGGGGCACACTTATAACCCCAGCAACTCAGAAGGCTGAGGCAGGGAATTGCAAGTTCAAGGCCAGCCTGGGCAACTTAGCAAGATCTTCTCTAAAAATTTAAAAGGGGTCTGGGGATATGGCTCAGTGGTAGCGTGCCCCTGGGTTCAATCTACAGCTCCATAAGAAAAAGAAAAGAAAGACATAGCTGTCAATGCAATTAAGGCACTGATGAATGATAGCTAGCTGACTCCCTGCGGAGTGCTGGGTGAACAGTAGTGACAGCAGGAGGTGGCCATCCTCATGCACTTCACAGTTTAGCTCTGTTTTACCCAATTTCACCTACTTTGCTGGCTCTGGAGCTGCCCTTGAACCACAGCCCACACACTGGCAGCCACAGAAGTGTCTTGTTTGACCCAGTCTATGTTTTTTTAAAAAAACATGAGGTAACATTTAAAAATCAGTAGGCTTCACACTCAAATCTAAATTTTGTTTGGAAAATGGGAAGGTGTGGCCATGCTGTGTTCCAGTACCCAAATGACATGCTGTTACTGCCTGTTATATAAAAGGCATGTTCTCCACAGTCCCCACCACTCTCCAGTTTCCCTGACAGCCAGCACCCAGGACCTTCTATCACAGTTTAGAAAGACTCTTTTCCTCATAATTAGGAAATCAGCTCTGTCTGTCCCTACCAAAAGTTGGCACATGTAAGGCAAATGGGTCACACAAGTCAAGAAAAAATAGGATATTCATTCATCCCACAAGTATTAATTGATAACTACCTTCATTCCAGGCTCCGTAGTGGATGCTGGAACTATAGCAGGGGCCAGCATGGATAAAGCACTCTTCCTCCTGGGACCCCACTCTGTCCACTGTAGCTCTCTTGGCACCAGTGGAGATGTGGGACTGGCTGGCCCCACCCATTTGACCTCCCCACCTGGCCTCCTGTGTGTTTCAGTTTCTCCCCTGATGAGAAAGCCCGCATTTATGTTGGGGGTCATCTGTGTTGACCTCATAGATGCTCCTGAGCACCCACTGCCTACCAACCCATCAGGGACTAACACAACAGAAGTGCTCAAGAAAAACTTGTGGAATGGGGAAGCTCATTTCACCTCTCTCCTAGATTATTTATCAATGCTTATCAATGTTTCTCCAGGATTTACTGTCAAATGTCAGTGCCCAGTGGGTGCTCACTTAATGTCAGTTGGAGGAATGGGTCCAGGATCAGAGGGGAGGGTGACAAGGGAAGTGTAGGCTTCCTGAAGACAGAGCCCTGGAAGAGGAAGGAAAGGGGCAGACATTAACAGCCCCTGGCAAGAGTTCATGTCTTCCTCCCAGTAACTCTGGAGGGACACCTGAGGAAAGCCCCTTTGCCAAACTCAGACTCTGGGAGTCAGGGAGGAGGAGGCTTGGCTGCCTGCAAGGTCTCTCCTCACCTACATAGAGGACTGACTCCACAGGGTGGGGGGATGTAAATGGTCTCTGAAAAACAGCCTCTCACTCTTGAAAATATGTCACCTTCAACTAGATGCCTGAGAGCTTCAGCCACTTCTCTTCTGACTCCTGTATTGCTCATTTCCCTACAACCTGTTCCAGCAAAAACTTAATACTATGTGAGAAAGGTGTATGTAGGTGCTGTAGGGACTCTAAAATGTTAGGAGGGGCTCCTATCTCTGCACTTAGTGGGTCAGCTAGTAAAAGAAACCCAGTCACAGAGGCCACCAAGCACTCCTGGGCAGGGTGGTGGATGTGGGGTATCCCTCCAACTGAGCCTAGCGATTAGTAGAATGTGGCCAGTGGAGTAGGGTGGAGGCAGAACCTTTGCCCCTCAGGGACGGTGACTGCAGAAAGAAAAGGCTGGGCCTGAGCACGTCTGGGTTCCTCGCCCTCAGCTCTCCTCCACCCTCACGGAACCTGACATCCCGTCTTTGAGAATTGGACGATGTTGTAAGCCCAGTGACCAAGGTGCTGGGGTTTTGTACCATGTCGGTGGTACAGCGCAGTCTAAATGCTTACTCCCAAGCCTTCTCGGGGCAGAAGGGGCAGAAGACTCTAGCTGGGGTCCTGGGGACCCAATGGGCGCTGGCTGTATATTCGCATGTGCGTCCCGCCTCCCCGACTGCGCGCTCCTGCGGCCATCGTGCCTTTCCGCACGAAGCCTGCACCCAGCAAATACCTCTGGATTGAACCACGAATTGCTCAGTCGGGCCTTGGGGATCCCGGGCCGCTTGGGCGCAGGCCCGGTTCAACAAGTGAGGGCCGAACCGCGGGTAACCGCCCGGCGGCTTCGCGCCTCCCTAGGCGCCTGGGGCGCGTCAGGCTGGGCCGGGCCCAGTTGGGCGAGTTTCATTTCATCACCCGCTGGGCGTGCGAGCGCCGGTGCAAATAACGTTGCCCTCCCCTCCCTCCTCTTCCCAGCTCCCTCCGAAACTCCCGTTTGCAAACGCTAGCATGCCCGGCTGGCAGGTCCGGGGCGGTGGCCGGGTCGGCTGGGCAGCTGGAGCTGCAGGGGACTGGGTGCCGGCGCCCGCCCCCGCCCGTCCGCCCCGCCCGGGCCGCGAGGCCACCTCACCGGCAGCGGAATGGAAACCGGTTCGACAGGTAACAAATAGGTGGGTTGTCACCGTTATTTCCCAACGCATGCGCCATCGCTCCCCAGGCTACTCCAAGCTAATTAGATCAGATCACCCCCCTCCCCGCCCAGCCACCAACACACACCGCCGCGAGCCAATAAAGCGTGAACCTGTCTGTCCGGCTCGCACTTTAAGACTTCCCGAGCGGCCGAGGGGACGCCAGTCGAGTCAGGAGACGCCTACCTGCCGATTCCCCGTCGCCCAGTGCACTTGGCTGCAAGGGCTCTGCTACCGAGGGACCGCGACACTCCGCGAAGTTGGAACGGGCGCGCGCCGTCCCAGCACTGTCTTCTAGCGGAACGTGGGGGCGCCTCGACGATTCCCCCCCTGAAGTGTCCGCTTCCTGCGCCTCCGAGCCGGCCCGGGAAAGGTGGGACGACCCGGTTCTAGTTGCGGAAACGGACCGCGCCGGGCCAGGAGCGTTCGAAAATGCCCCGCGCGTTCCTGGTGAAGAAGCCGTGCGTCTCCACGTGCAAGAGGAACTGGAGCGAGCTGCCAGATGAGGAGCGCGGCGAGATCTACGTGCCAGGTGAGGCGCCTGCAGCCCGCGGCGCCCGCGGCGGCGGGAAGGCGGGGCGCGGAGATGAGCGGCTCTGCGCCCGCCGCTGAACACCAGGATGCAGGTTGCCGCGGCCGCGGCTCCGTTAGCCCGCGGCTGGGTGACCCCGGGCGCGGGGAGGAGAGGGCTCGCGAGCGGAAGCAGCGTCGGGTGGGGGCGGGGGCCATCTCCCTCTACCGGCCCGAGCCACGGCGTAGGGGAGGCAGCGGGGTGTGTCACCGCTCTGGCGACCCTCGGCTCTCGAGTCGTAAATCCAGAAAGCSGAGACTTTGATGAAGCGCGAGGAGGGCGCTGGAGCGATGCCACTTTAGGGGGCAGGGAACGAGATGGAGTTTCAGCTGAGGCTTTGCCACTTAGATTCTGAGCCTTAGCCGCTTCCATAGGTCTTTCTCCCTCCGCCACAAATCTGGTGCCTGGTGGGGACGCGGGCGAGTATCCCCAAGTTGCCCTGCGGCTCTAGCCCCGCGGTCCGCACAGTGCGCAAGCGGGATAAGAAGGCSCCCGCTTGCACCCAGCCTGCCCTTGAGACAAAGATGGGATCGGTTCTCACCTTTGTTAGAAACGCGATCCTTCAACCTTGCAGAGGATACACGGAGCGGAAAGTAGTTTTAAGGAGCACCCCCCAGCCCAAGACAAGCCCGGGGAAGCTGGTGCACCCAGTTTATTTTGAGAAGACGCCTAGACAGAGTCCGCGTCCACTTTGAATGAGTAACCCGAGTTGTCTTCCTTTGAGGCATCTTCCTAGGGTCCCTGAGGACGCTTTTGCTCCTTCTGTCCTCCCCCTTCCCCCAACAAAATCTTTGGTCAGGAAGCCTTGGGGGTGGGGTGGGGGCTGCAGTCAATACCTTGCCCAGTGCCTCCAAGGAAGGAGAGGTGGTAATTAACCAACCGACTTTGACCCTTGATCTGCAGATTCCCTGGCATCGCCTGGGCCTTAAGGAAAGTCAGGAAATGAGRGCATCAGATGAGGGGCCAGTGAGGGCTCTTGCCTCAGTCTCCCTCTTGAATTAAACTGTTGGGGGCAGGGGCTTGGGGATAGGGTTTTTGTGGCCTGAGCTGCCAGGATCCTATGACCTGAAGCCAGGGTGGGATGTGTCACAGCTTAAGCTTATCTCATGGGGGCTGGGCCATCCTTCTGTAGCCTCTTTAAACATTGGAATSATCCCAGTAGGGAAACTGAGGCAAAAAAGGAAATGAGTGTCTCCCTATCTAGGTGGGAGTGGRCTAGGACTGTAGTTTTTAGCTGGCCGTGTTCCCTCACCAGCTGGCCAGTGCTCCACCTCCGGAAGGACCAGGGAGAGGCCACCCCCTTCCTTGCTCCTACCTCCTCCCCAACCTATGTTTGACTTGCTGCTTAGCTGCTCCATGGGATCTGATAAACTGAACTTGGACTGTGTTAAAGGTGAGCTGAGCCTTGGGCCCAGCTCAGAGTGCTGTTATTTTTAGTTTTATTTCACATCCCATTTAGTAACAGATCACATATTGACTTTTACAAAGGACAAAGAAATTCCGCTTGTTCAAATCATTGACTTCCTTGGGTCCTAACAATTTTCCCCATAAGAGTTTTGGTGGCCAAAGTGGGAATGGTAGWAGAGACCTGGGCTCCGGGACTGTCCCATCAGGGGCAGGGGACGACTCCTAGGTGGACAGTTCATCTGCCACTACCGTCCAGGTGGAGGAGTGTACAGATGCTCACTCTGCAAGATGGTCCTGGAATGGAGGGCAGGCTGACCTCGAGGGCGATGGTAAAACTTGCCCCCGTGGCTCTGGCAGTGGATGAGAGTTCTGTGGGCCAAGTAAAGGGCATAGGTTTTACCTCTAAAGGCCACTTGACCCACTGGAGAATTTTCCCACAATTTTTGAAAATGAGAAAGGGAATGTCCTTGGGCCACGCTCGGACGCTTCAGATGGCTGGAGGGGGCAGTTATGTGGTGGCCTGTCCTCTGGCTGGGCCATTCCATCACCAACCGACCATGACCCCAGGAGTCRACTGGGCACGTTTCCGTCACCCCCACCTCACAGACTCTCAGCACGTTGTGACCAGCTAGGCACTGACCCCTTTCCCAGGGAGGGCAGGGGAACATGCGGGTGTCTGAATTTTGACCTTCCTGCCGGGGCCCTTGAGACACTCAGAGCATCAGAAGCTCCCTGGAATGAGTGGCTGAAAGTACTGGGCCCAGTCCCAGTCTCATAAGTACCTCAGCCTTCCTCCCCCAGGCAGAATTCTACAGGTTCCTCTCCCAGGGCAGAATCTTTCCCTGAGCCCCCATTATCYTCCCAAAGCTAAGGGGAAGCCCTGGTCAGCTGGGTCTGGAATGCAGGCAAGGGAGAAGAGAGCCCCATCTGCCCTGGGATCAGGGGGAGGTTAGTGGATAGGATGCTCCCTCTTGGGGGCCTTGACCCCTTATCTTCCCTCACCTCCCGGGGTGTGGGCTTCTCTCCTCAGTTGTGTCAGTATTGACTGTGGAGTAACAGGAGGATGCTGGTTTCTGGAGGATGAACCGGTACTTGTACCTGTTACTTCCACTTGGAGGGATGATGCGTCCCTCCAAGCCTGGCCCCTGCTGAGTGGAGTCTAGATGTCAAGAAGGCACCTGGGGAAAGACCCGTCCTGGAAGCTGGAACTCCAGGAGCATCCCTGGGGCCTCTTCCAGAACCCCAGACTCCCACTCCTGGGCCTCCCCTCTGGCTGCCAGCGGCCGCTTTCTGCTGGTTCTGCAGCAGGGCACAAGGCCAGGAGGCCAGTGGGGCTGAGCTGCAGGAGCCCTGGGTTTCCTTTAGATAATGCAGCTGGGCCTCRCTCTGCTGTTAGCAGTGTGGGACTTGACCATTCTTTTTCCAGGCTGAGTCAGAAAGGCAGAGAAAATCAGCTCTGGACCCCAGAATAGGGGTGGGAGCGGTGGGAGAAGCTAGGTTTCCAATGAGTGTTCTAGTGACTTCTGGAAGTGCTGGGCAGTGGAGTGGGTTTGCTGTGTCCTCTTGGGAGAGAGGCTGGGAGGGGACAGCCAGTTAGTGCATGGGACAGAAGAGCAGCTTGTGCCCTAACTGGTAGGACTCCTACCAGTCCCATGGGACACTGTCACCGAAGCTGCTAAGCTGTTTGTCCCAAGCTTGGGTGTCCTGTGGCAGAAGCTGCCAGACTGTCCCAGAAAGAGAGCAGGTGAGAGCAAGTGCCCTGGGTGCACAGAGGATGAGGACTGAAGCCTGGCCATCATTGGTGTCGGGTTCCTTTTTACCATTGTTCATCCTCTGGCATCCTATAGGGCCCCACAGGCCTGTGCTGGGCAGGAAGATGAAGGCTGCCACAGGAAGTGCAGTTCCTGGCTGGCCAAGCCATACACACTGGTGTGAGGACAGAGGGCACAGTTTTGACTTCACCATGGACACTGAATGAAAACCAATCAAGAATGGGGCAGATATCGCCCAACAGAGATGGCAGCAGAAGGCCGAAAGATAGGTCCATGTGTCCCCAGGCTGCTGCCCTGCTGGATAGCAGATACCGCTCCTTTCAGAGGATTGCCAGCTGACCTGCAGGACTGGGCACAGGGGAACCCAGCCCTTGTTGATAAGGGTACAAGGCTGCCTGAAACCAGCCTGGGCTGTGCACACAYCCAGAAGAGAGTTGACCCCAGCAGCACCTGCGTGGTCAGCACCCAGGAGGTGGGGMACCCTCACATCTGCCTCACTTGCTCTCCCCATTCTCTCCCCAGAGAGCCAGGGATCAGGCCTCCTGCCCAGTCTTGTCTAAGGCCTTTGATGGGGCAGGACCTAGCATCCTAGCCACTATTTGGGCCAGTGACTTTCAACCCAAGAAAGGGGGAACATTTTTTTTTGTACAGGGGATTAAACCCAGGGTCACTCAACCACTGTGCCACAACCCCAGCCCTTTTAATTTTTTTTTTTTTTTTTTTTTTTTTTTTTTTTTTGAGACAGAATCTCACTAAGTTGTTTAGGGCCTCACTAAATTGCTAAGGCTGGCTTTGAACTTGCAATCCTCCTGCCTCAGCCTCCTGAGTCTCTGAGATTACAGGCATGTGCCATGATGCTCGGTTTTAAGAGGGGGGACTTTCGGAGGATAAGGCAGAATGTGACCCTTGTATAGGCAGCTGCCCTGGACCTAAGTCCCTTTTTGTCCATCCCATCGCTTTGGACTGGTCTGGAGGCACATTGGGCCAATAGGAGGGAAAGCATGAGCTCCTGAGGGAGGAGGGGAGGCAGGCTAGTTTGGCCTTACCACACTCCACAGCTGTGGGTGGGCAGTGAGTGGCCACAGCAGCCACCACCTTGTTGGAAACATCTAATTAAGGAACAGAGAGCAGCACCAGCAGGGCCTGACCAGTTCTGCTTCCTGCCTCCTATCACAGTGACACTCAGACGTGTGGCATGCTAATGTGCACTCCTGTGTATGCAGCCCAGCAGGGACACACGGGGGTGGCAGGGAGACAGGTTTGGCGGGGTGGGCGGGATGAGGCAATATCCCCACCCTAGCAGCCTTACCTGCCCCTCGCTCAGGGTAGAGGTGGCACAGAGAGCCAACCCAGGGAGGCTTCACCCTGTCCATGCTCAGCACCAGCTATGTCAGGTGTGTGTGGAAGGGCAGAAGCAGACAAAGGACACGGGATTGCCTCCCTACGGGTTGGTCCCAAGGACCCCAACCATGAGCCTCCCCTCTAGTGAAGCCAGAGAACAAAGTGTGACAGCTTCTTCTTCTTCTTTTTTTAATTTGTTAAGTTTTTTAGTTGTAGTTGGACACAATATCTTTATTTATTTTTATGTGGTGCTGAGGCTCGAACCCAGGGCCTTGCACGTGCTAGGTGAGCGCTCTACCGCTGAGCCCCAGCCCCAGCCCCCCTTTTTCTACTTCTTTTCTTTTTTGGGGTGGGGGATTGAACCTAGCGTTGCGCTGTCTCTGAGCTGCACCCCCAGTCCTTTTCATTTTTTATTTTGAGGCAGGGTCTTACTAAGCTGCCCAGGCTGGCCTCGAACTTGTGATCCTCCTGCCTCAGCCTCCTAAATCTCTGGGATTATAGATGTGTGCCCCCAGGCCAGGCTAAAACTTTTTTTGGGGTGGGGGGGTTCTGGGAATCAGACTCAGGGCCAGCTCGTGCTAGGCAAGCACTCTACAGTTCATTCTGAGTTCAAACTAACTCATCTCACCTGCTGCCCCTCCTCTCTCCTTTGCTCCGAGGCAGACAGAGCTGGGTTCTGGCTTTGGGTTTTCAGGCTCCTCATTCACAACATCCCAAACTGACAGACCCAGGAGAGTAGAGGTCCCTGTTTTGTCCACCTGGGTTGAGAAATGGAAATTGCCATTCAGTTTTGAATACTTGGCCAAGGTCATCAGTGGCCGGTAAGCTGGCACCGGTAGCTGCCAATGCTGTGCCCCAGCTCACCCAGCCTGGTCCCCTGTGCACAGACGTAGGAGGGCAGACAGGCCACTGACAGCTGGACCCCCAGAGCTCGGGCCTGACACCAGCCTGTGTGGCTCAGAGAGAGGTGGGGCGCCAGCTCAGGGGCCAGGCCAGGGCCTGGCGCTGGTGAATCAACCCCTGGAATGAGGTGGCTCATTAAAGTCCCCCGGACAGACGGACGCCAGCGCCCGTAGAACGGGTTCTGGGCGCGGGCAGGCACATTCTTCCCCCGTCAGAGCTTTGTTGTGTTTTGAGGGGGCGAGATCTGGGGCCTCTCCCGAAACTTCGGTGCCCTCATACTTACCCAGCCTCCATTATCCCGGTCCTCTTCCTTCTGCTACATCCCCATCTGTCCTGCAGGAGAGGTGAGGGCAGCCGCCCTGCCCTGGTCCTCACCACTGTCTTTCCAGCGTGGAGGGGTCGGGGCAGAGGACCTTGCTGGTGGGACTGAAATCCCATATGCACCTCTCTCTCATGCTCCCTCATCCTTTCTGTCCCAGGACTGTCCCTCTTGATTTGTCTTTCTGAAATTTATAGGTTTTAAGTTCAGACCTTAGGATGTACTGAGATTTTAATTGAAATATTAGACCATTTGCCCAGCTCTGCTGGCTTCSAGACTTGACTCCTCTGGGTCACTTCTCATCAGGACCAGGGCTGAGGGTCTGCAGCCAAGCCTCCCTGGCCCGTTTACTGTGATGTGTCTGCTGCAGGGAGTGGCTGCCAGGTATCGGTGCCACCACTGCCTGAGGGAGCCCAGCCTGGCTGCCACAGCAAGCGGTCCGCTGTGGGGGAGGGTTGCATAAGCGCCGGGCAGGCTGCCCGAGCATCCACCTGCTGCTCCCTGACCTCCTCCCTCTCCACCCACCTGGCCTGTTTGCCTGCAGAGCTGGGCTGGGCTGGAGTTGGGAGCCTGGAGCCCTGATGGGCTATGACAGCAGGGACTAGCAGGCTAGAGGAGGAAGGGTCTAGAACCACCTAAAAACCCAAGGCCAATGGCTAAATCTGCCTGGRGGAGAGGCCTGAAGGGGCCCAGACCATCACCCTCTGGGGCCAGGATGACTCTCAAGGAGTTGTCCTTGGCCAGGGCCTCCAGTGGTGCCCTTTGTCCCAGCAGGAGCACACACAAGCTTGGAATCCAGAGGGACTGGCCCAGGTGGGGCAGGCCGATAGGTCTGCAGCCATAATTGGCAGGGCAGTTTGGTCCTCCCAGTTCCGCTAAGACACAAATTACTCAGCGGGCAGTGGCGCTTGGCTGGCGTCACCTGTAATTACCTTAATGGGGCAGAAGGGAGGCGTAGCACGTGGTGGTTGGGAGAAGCCCCACTCTATACATGCCTGTGAGAGCTGGAACAGAGGCTCTAGCCACCTTCTTGCTGGAGAACCTTCCTGAAATCCTCACCCGGCTGTTCTCTCCACAGTCAGCCTGGGCTTCTGCCCACCACAGCCCTACCGGGAGCCAGAGCCATCAGTGGCCGAACCCCCTTCCTGCCCCCTGGCTTTGGACATGAGCCTTCGGGACTCCAGCTATAGTACGGCCCCAGGAGCCTGCGTGGTGGCCCAGCTGCCCTCTGAAGATGTGGGCCGCCTGACTGACCCCCAAAGCAGAGATCAGGGCTTCCTACGCACCAAGATGAAGGTAACGACTGTCACATTGTCTCAGGGACCAGGGGCACATATGGAGACCTATGTCCAGCCCATGAGATATGGMGCCAATGAAATGTAGGCAGACTGACCTGGGCCCTGGGCCAAGGCTTCTGCAGAGAAGAATTTAACTGCAGCACAGATGGAAGAGACGTAAGTCTGAAGTGAGAACGGCCACTGACCACATGGTTTGTCTGGCCACAAGCAGCAAGGAGAGCTGTAGGAAGAGCCCCCCAAGGCAGAGAGGCAGGAGTCTGGCCTGGCTGCATCTCCTGTCTGGGTCGCACTGAGCATGAGGTCTGAGTGGCCTAGCAGTTAACTATTCCCTGAAGCAGCAACCACCTTGCCCAGATCTGTGTCTCCAGCCTGATCAGTGTCTAAGGACATGACTAGAGCTGGGCCTGGGTGAGCAGCCCCGGCACCCTACACAGTACAGGCACGAGGCAGCGCAGGTGCCCCTGCTCCCAAGGACAGCACCAACAGCAGGCCCRGCCTGCCTGGGTCTGCACTCCGGAAACTCCAGGGTGGGGCAGCATCTGCACAGTGATCTAGGGAAGGGTGCTCCTTTAGTGATGTCCTGTGTCACCAAAGACTGGAACACCATATTGCAACTGGGAGGGAACATGGTGCTCTTTGTGCCCCTGATGCCCTTCCCCTGACTCTTGGACCCCTGTGGGTGGGGAGAGTAGAGGAGTTGGAGGACTGCATCCTGACATTTCCCAGGTGCCAAATGGGAGGTGTAGTGCGACAGAGGCCCAGGATCTCAGGAGGAGCGGCCAGAGACAGGCCACCCACAGAGCACAAGCACCCTCTGGATGGTAACAGATGTGAGAGTAGAGACTCCATCATCCTGGCTGTTCAGCCACTCCTGTGTTGATCTCACCTGGGGAGCTGCTGTAGCCACTCTGAGCAGCATACTTTCCAAGGTGTTACATGTACCCAGGTCTTGCTTCAAATGGACAAGGCAAGGGGAAGCAGGGTAGAAGAGAAGGAACAGGCACAGGCTTGTGATATTGTCTCCATACTTTTGTATAAATTTGAAATCTTCCATAATTAGAAAAACATCAGAAAGATTTACAGGCCAGAGGATGGATGGCACAGGGGTTTGACCCACACCATGCCACCTGGCTCAAGTGAACCAGGGAGCTGGCTGGCCTGGGCCAGATTCTAGTCTTGCTGCATGCTTCAGTCTGTAGGCTGCAATCGAGACCCTTTCCCTGGGTAGTCATCTACTCTGTCACAGAGGCAGAACAGGAATGAATTAATAGACACTAGAGACATGCAGATTTAGCCTCCATAAAGAGTGAAGTTGTCTTTGGACGAACAGCTGTCTCTGGGTAGTTCAGTTGCCTGTCTCCAGTGGTTAAGGAGGGCCTGGGTGATGGCCTCAAAAGGGAACTCAGGAACCAAGCAGGATCCTGGACCCATGACACAGAGGTTCCTTTGAGCCCCTAAACTGCCCATCTTTGAGCAGAGGGCCCAGGGCTGTGGCCTGTGGACATAGACACTGCTTTCCTCAGGGCTAGGGGTTGGAGTCCCAAATTCTGGATGTTTGTCACAATACTGTCCTTGCCCACAGGTGACCCTGGGGGACAGTCCTAGTGGAGACCTCTTTACCTGCCACATCTGCCAGAAGGCCTTCACCTACCAGCGTATGCTGAATCGCCATATGAAATGTCACAATGATGTTAAGAGGCACCTGTGCACATACTGTGGGAAGGGTTTCAACGATACCTTTGACCTCAAGAGACACGTCCGAACCCACACTGGTAAGCACAGGCCCAGGCCAGGAGGGAGCACCCCAGGACTGCCTGACCCAGGCCATGTGGGAAGATTCCATGGTGGGAGGGGCACCCTGCAGCTCAGGGTAGAAGTCCTCCTGAGATCAGGGATGTGGACTTGATTTGAGAGTCACTCGGGAAAAGTGGTGATGGACAGGCTTCATCCATCCCTCTGCCTGAGTCAGATGTTCTGACCTTTCTGTGTCTGGATGCTGCTGACAGGCTCCAAGGTCCCTTGTCAGGTCTCTGATGCTGGCCCCTGTCTTGCTTAGGTGTGAGACCCTACAAGTGCAGCCTATGTGACAAGGCCTTCACCCAGCGCTGCTCCCTGGAGTCTCACCTCAAGAAGATCCATGGCGTGCAGCAGAAGTATGCGTATAAGGAGCGCCGGGCCAAGCTGTATGTGTGCGAGGAGTGTGGCTGCACGTCTGAGAGCCAGGAGGGCCACATCCTGCACCTGAAGGAGCACCACCCTGACAGCCCGCTGCTGCGCAAGACCTCCAAGAAGGTGGCTGTGGCCCTGCAGAACACTGTGACATCCCTACTGCAGGGCAGTCCCCACCTCTGAGCAGCTCAGGCTTGCTGCCCAGCCAGTCCGCCCTCCTGTGGCCTCTCCTCACAACCCTGACATCAGGACTGGAGTCCGTGCAGTCCCCCTCACTCAGGCTGATGCTATTTCCCTGTTTGTCTTATGGGYAGAGTTGATCTGCACCTGAAAGACGCAGACATCTGGGTAGGGGTGAGGCCAACGGATTAGCAGCTGCCACCTACAGAGACAGGCACCAGGAGTTCCTTCACAGAGGAAATGCGGTGAGAGGGGATCCTGTGGCCCTGGGCCCTGAGTGCAGGACAGAGGCTGCAGGTCCCCTTGGATAGCAGAGTCAAGAACACTGGCGAGAAGCACCCTGCAAAGACCCACGTGGGCGCTGGCGGAGGCTTGTGTGCCTGCAGGCCACACATGCGTGCACAGCCGTGTGCATWTGTGTGTGCAGCACTGCTCTGTGCGTGCTCAAATAGGTGTGCCACTCGTTTGTGTACACAGGTGCACACAGGAGGCCTCTTCGYGTATCACCTCATTTTTTAAAAAATCAAGGTGCCAGGGAGGTTTTATTTCCTTTTTTAAAAGATGACAAATGTACAGATATTAATATATATTTGGTGCCCATGGCGACTGTTTTTAACAGAGGGATGGAGCTGGCTTTTCTCCTCCCTGTATGGTTCTATTTATCCTGGACATTTCAAACTTCTCTGTGCCTTGGGTCTGGGGCTCCTGCCCGAACCACCCCTGTTCCCTGAGATCTCCACTGAAGACCTCCTCGGGCCCTCCGGAGGGTGCGCTGCTCCTCCTCTCCTTCCTCTTCTCTGGGCAGCACCTCACTTCTGCTCCTCCCTCAGGCTCTGCCTCCCAGATCCTCTCCGGCAGTCCCCAAGTTTCCTGAAGAGCCTGCTGGCACTGTTCGTTGGTGGTCCCAGGCTGACGACAGAGGTCAGCCAGGCAGGATGGGGAGTCTGTGACGGGGAGGCTGCTACTTGCGGTGCTGTGGCGAGCACAGGAGGGCTGGAAAGCCAGCCCTTTTCCTGGGTGAGTCAGACACCCGAACACAGCAACCAACAGTTGGCACCAAAAAATCAAGACAACCGAAACTTCCAGAGGGAACAGAGTGTGAGATGGCTAATAAATTCTCTCTGTAGCCTTTTTCCTGACTGTTTTCTAAATGGCAAAGCTGGGTTTTGAGTACCTGAGCTGGCTGGCTCCTCTGAGCAGTGGTCAGGCTCCCTCGGCGTCGTTGGGTTTCCTGCTGATAACAGCAAAGTGCAGTGAGTCAAAAGGGTGTTTTTCTAGTGGGTCAGAGGAGATGGGCAGAGGCCACAGCCAGCCTGCCTCCCTTGCCCTCCAGCAGATCCACCAGAAGGCCACAGAATGAAGCAGACTGGGCAGCCTGAGCAGCCCCGGAAGCCAAACCCATCAGAACCGCCATGGCCTCCCTGCCGGGAAGGTGCAGCGACTCTGTGGACCCCAGCTCTGCCCCACTCCGGGCTGAGCTGAAAGGAAAGAGCTTCTTGATAGGAGCTGGATATAGACTAACTCTGCAGACCAGTTTCATTTTACTRTTGTGTGTGTGGAAGCTGCTCTATTCTGAAAGTTCTAGAGTTTAGCTGGGAGCGGTTTGTGTTTACATTTCTGTCTCTCTGGGTTCATTACCAAGCTGAAGCCTCATGAGACTTTTTTTTTTTTTTTTGTCTTATTTTATAACCTTCCCTTCGACTAGTAAAATCAGAAAAATAATGTTTTCTGTGTTCTGATTTTCTATCTTATGAGTCTTTTTTGCAGAGAAGTTCATCAAAACAATTGCTGCACTCTACCCAGACCCTGTCCCTTTATGGTTACCGTGGGCTGGAGGCAAGGCAAGACTCTGACCCAGCTAGATTAAGTGACTGCCAAGGCCTCACCCTACCGGTGCTTCTGCCCCACCCAGCCTGCTCTGCTCTGAGGCTGTGGCAGCTGGGGCCCTCTTCCTGGGCTCCCTTCCTCCGCCCACCACCCCAGGATCCCAACCAAGAGCCTCCACCACCCAGAACCTGCAGCTTTCCACAGTGGCTCTGCCTCTGTCCTAGCCTCTTCTTAACACCCTGCCAGGATGGGAGCAAAGGAGGAGGAGCTGCAGTCACTTCCAGTCAGACACGAGGGAGGTCTGAACAATGCACACCCTAGGGATGGCCACACTCACAGTGCTGATCGGTGCCAGGCACACTCATGAAAGAAGTCAGGGAGGGGAGCTGGCCCAAGGCCTCAGGCCCATTAGCAGTGAGCTGGGCTAGAACAGACAGCCTGGCGATGTGTGCCTTAAGTGCTGTTCCTGCTGTGGATAGAGAACTGGGAGAAGAGAGTGGCACCTCTCAGCACTCAAACTGGAGGGGACTTTGGAGATTACCTGGCTTGCCCATCACCCACCCAAGATCACTCTGGAAACTCTGGTCCCTGAGTCCTAGTTCAGGGTCATTCCATCACTCCCTGGACAGATGGATGGGGAGGAGAGTTACCAGGCTCTGGCCACCGGTGTATGTCCTGGGAGGCATTTGAAGGCTGGTGCCTGGACGTGTGAGGAGAAACCTCATTGTGAGAAGCCCAGACCCCATTTCACACACCTGAGTGGAGCAGAGCCCACTGTGGGGGCGCAGGTGATTAACTGCTATGCCAACTTCCTCAGCAGGGTTGGCCCAGATGGTCACATTTTGAAGGCTTTAAGGTTCTTAAGACTCTTCAGAGCAAGCCAGTGCAAGAGCCTGGGAGAGCRGGGATTAGTGCACACAAATGGTGTGACCGAACCACAAGGCCAGGCAACCCTGAAATGAATCTTTTGCATCTTGGAAGAGGGGGCACCAGGTGGGGAAGATGGGAGGACCCGGCCAACAGAGGAGGACACAGGGTGGGAGGGGAGAACTGGAGGAAGGAGCGGGGCCCACCACCCGTCCCACGCTGCAGTCAGTCAGTCTCACCACAGGGGTTTTGGGAGACCTGCCTGGGTGCCAATGAACACTGAGAATAAAACAGGCCTCGGGGGCACAGGGGARCTGGGCAAGGCCTCATTAGGAGGGAAGCAGAGTCCTGCTGTCCTCAGAACAAAGCAGCAAGCGTCAGGTAGGGAACTTTAGGGCTGCAAGTGCTCCTCATGGTTTATACTCCAGAGTTGAATATCTTCTCTAACAATTTTACAATGAGTATGTTATTTTTACTATTGGAACAACAACAACAAAAAAAAAACCTAAGAGGTTTGCTGGGCACAGTGGCGCATGCCTGTAATCCCAGCGGCTTTGAAGGCTGAGGAGGAGAATTGCAAGTTCAAAGCCAGCCTCAGCAAATGCAAGGTGCTAAGCAACTCAGAAAGACCTTGTCTCTAAATAAAATACACAAAAGGGCTGGGGATGGGCTAAGTGGTTAAGCGCCCCTGGGTTCAATCCCTAGTACCAAAATTTAGATCTAAAGTTTGATACATCAACAGGGAGATGGGGCTGACTCCCCCAGCCAAAAAAAAAAAAAAGAGCAAACAGGATCTTGGACGTTATCAGAGGTGTGGCTTCAACCACACTTCATGTGCCTCTGCTTTGGGCTGGTCCCCAGAGTCAGCAAGTGGTAGGGAAAGGGCTTTGGCCTTCATCAGGAGACAAGGCTTGCCTAGCCCTCTCCCACTATCTGTGTGACTTTGGACAAGTGGCAACCTCTCAGTTTCCTCATCTATAAAATGAGGTGGATCCTAAGTTCAAATGACCCTCTCTGCTCTGAAGCCTCTAGGCGCCTATCTTGGTAAAGCACAAGAAGAAGCCCCCTGACAGACTGCTTCAGAGATGTGGACAACAGAAGCTGGGAGGTACCATGAGGGGAGGAAGGCCACCAAAAGGCCACCAGCCCAGGAGGCAGGAAAAATTTGTCCATTTGGCTTCCCATAAGGCAGAACCCTGGGTGAGCAAGAGTTAGACCGGTCTTAGAGGGCAAAGGACCTTACTGAGCCCCACACAGCTTGACCCTGGGAGGGAGGAGCTGGCACCATCTTCAGAGCCTGGGAAGCCACTGTGAAGAATCTCTGAGTTCTCAATTCTAGGACCACACAGGCTGGAAAAATGATCCCCAAGCTCTCCCACCTATGAAATTTTATAAGGTCCRGCCAAAGTGCCATGGCCATGACCTTCAGGTCCAAAGGCCATTCCCACAAAGGCAGATCTGGTGGGAATGCTGGTGAACAGACCAGGTATGAGAGAAAGCCCAGAGAAGGGTGAGAGCAGGTGCAGGCTGTGCCAGCTCTGGGTTTGGGGTGATGATGGCCTGGCTTGTTGTGGGAAGGGGCTCCCTTTCCTATACTCTAGGTCCAGCCCCTGGGGCAATGGCTGCCACTTGACCCAAGATGTCCCACTCTCACGTCCAAAACCAACCCGCTTCCTTCGTGCCCCCTGACAGCCCCTTCCCCATCTTGAAGTCTGTCTGACGCCCACCCTCCTTCGGCAGTGAGGCTCCTTGGGCACCTCTGGCCCATCCTGGTGCTCTTGCTCGGCCTCCCTRTGTCCTCTAGGCCTGAAGATCCCCGGGGCAGTGTCTGTGGGCTGCAGGCTCCTGGCATGTGGGCAAGTGGCTGCCAGCAGGAGGGTAGGCTGAGTCAGGTGTGGAGATCGGGTTGGGCAAAGGAGGCACGCTGAAGTAGGTCTCCGGGGCTGTTCCCTGAGYGTAAGAGCTGGGAGGCAAGTGGCTGTTCCTTGTGTTCCTGACTTCTCACTGAATACAGCTGTCCCCGCTAGCCTCAGGGGATGCATTGCAATCCCCCAGTGGATCCCTGAACCACAGAGAGTACTGAACCCTGTGTACACTGCTTTTTTTCTATCACAGAGACCTATGATGAAGTTTATAAATGAGGCACAGTTAGAGATTAACAGCAGCTAACAATCAATATAACAATTACAACAGCATACTGTGATMATGTGTGCATGTGCACTCTCTCTCTCAAAATACGGAATTTTCCGTTTAGTATTTTAAGACTGTGACTGACCTTGGGCAACTGAGACCAGGGATAAGGGGGACTGCTGTAAA